TCGTTTTGTGTAATTAAATACCAAAACACCCTTACCTTCAGGTCTGACGCCGACTCCGGACGACTCGGACTCGTCGATGATGTCAAACGTGAACCATAAGCACGAAGTGGACGCCGAGGTTCACGTGGACGCCGTGTCCGGTGGTGGCGATCCGCGTAACGCCTCCCGTTTGGCCCAAATCAAGGCCTACAGCCGTTCCCTATCGCACTCGTCGATGAGCACCCGGACGGACGTCGAGCCGTACGACGAGGACGAAGAGGAGGACTTCGAGACGCTGTCCAACGACTACAAGAAGACGGTGCGCGAGGAAAAGGTTAAACTTCAGCAGCATTTCGATCGCCAGATGTCCACCACGGAGGCCATGAATGTGCGACTCGTGGACGCCATACAAGAGTCTCAGCCGCCCCTCGGCTCAGATCAGCCACCGATCATGAATGGGGAGAACAGCTCGGGCTATGACTTGACTGAAATCAAGGATGAAAACGGACAGACAGTTCTCCATCAGTTGGCCGCTAAACATCATCAGAGATCCGGTTCTTAAAGAATATTCCTATTAATATATTTCTATTTTCCTAGAATATCATTAATATTTATTTAATGGATAGTATAATTTTAAATATTAATTATAAACTAATAATTATTATTACTATATATTGTTTATGTTATGTTTATTGGATAATATTTTACGATTACTAATTAATAAATTTATTTTATTATTCAATAATATTAATTCTATTTTAATAAATATTGTTATATTTAAAAGCATGGGTATCATATGGTAATGTATTGGGAATATGCGATACATATTATAATATTTATACTACTATTTAAGAATAAAAATACTAATAATTTTTAAATAGTGTTTAAGTTTGCAATCTACTTTATTAAGGTGATAAATTCAATTAAAAATAATTTAAATATTAATTAATATACGGTATAATCTATTAATATTATTAATTAATATTAAACATTTAAATAAAATCTTATATGCAAATTTCATTCTGTTTTTATGCCATAATATTTGTCACAATCATCTAAAAAATATTCTCCAAATAATAATAATAATAATAATAATGAAATGAAAAAGTATTTTACAAAATGTTAAGTGAAGCGGAATACCTGATACCGGAAAGGGATGCAAAATACCGTACAATACGTGACATAACAGTGGAGAATGGCATCAAAGATAACCTACAAGTCGTGGATCAGTACATTCTGGACACATTTGTCAAGGAGAATAAGACCCTGGTCAGGACACTGGCACTCGAGGGCTATAATAACTTACTGACGGTCGTGGACGCCGATGGGCACGACGTGATCGCCACTCTCAAGAGGTATAACAAGATATCGATGCAGGAGTTCGTCCAAGACTTGGCTCAGTTTCAGGTGATTTTGTTAAGTTTTGTTATAAAACTTTTATTTCAGAATACAAACTGTAATAAAATATTTTATATGAACTTTCTACCCAGATCAGTTGCTAGAATACGAAATAAATTGGAAAAGTTTAGCCACTACATTTTAGCCACTGATATACTATATGAAATACTGTAATTTATTACTAATACCTGTATAAAAATGGTTAAAATAACTATAGAGTGTGTAAAAAAGTTTACTAAAGTTATTTATATTTTGTTATTTTGATATATACTGTAAATATTCAATTATTTTCAATATACACACAATTTTCTGTATATTGAAGTTTATGTTAAAATATAATGTTCTAAACGTTACTAACATTTTGCGAACAGAAAAATCGCGACGAATTGCACACATTTATACGGCACGGCTATGCAGAGGGTGTATGCAATCTGGTGGACACGGACAGCGAGCTTGTGATAGCAAAAAGTGAGCAAGGTAGGCACGCCTTACACATATCGGTGCTGTTCGCTAACCTCGACATAATCAATGCGCTAATCGACGCCAACCCTCAGGCGGTCAACACTCCCGACAACGTATGGATAGAAATAACCATTGAATTGAATGTTAAAATAATTGTCTATTTTGTTTGAATACCTGTCCACTTTTGAATAGTTGGGTCGAACTCCACTCCACTACGCTATGGCCAGTAGTCTAGTGGAGGAGATCGGACGGGTGCTCATACGTGCCGGTGCTAACAGAGCGCTCCGGGATGTGGTCAGTACTCAACGCTATATTCTTACAGAATATTCTGTATAATAATGTGTGAATTGTATTGTATTTTCATAGCGTATGCGAACTCCGAGCTATTATTTCGTATACAAACAGGAGATCAGAGATATCAAGGAGGAGGAG